AGGAAAGGAAAGGAAAGGAAAGGAAAGGAAAGGAAAGGAAAGGAAAGGAAAGGAAAGGAAAGGAAAGGAAAGGAAAGGAAAGGAAAGGAAAGGAAGAGGTATAAACAAAGGACTGTAGAAGAAATAGAAAAAAAACACAGAGTTTTTACTTCTATGGCTAGAACGGCCCACACATCAAAATCAGACTAGAAATCACAGTAAACAAAAAATATAGACTAGGAAATCCTGTCTTGGCCTGGAAACAAGATGACAAAAGAGTTGCATTCCCTTACCACACCTGTAACAATGTGTTTTTATGTCAGGGATGAGGTAACAAAGGGAGAGCTCTGCCCCAGGGCACTGCTGCTCGGCACTGGACGCCTGCTCATGTTCGTGTCCTGTACATGTCCTGCCTGCAAAGGCAAGAAGACTTTTGCTTTTAAAATCTGGAGCTTGCTGGGGGCCTGTTCTTCGTGGAATGGCCACCAATGGTATTTCTCAACACTGTAAAAGTTGAAGTAATTTCAGCACTAAAAAACTTCTCTCCGTTCCAAGCCAAGGACTCGATCAGGCCAGAACTAACCCGTGACTTTTCCTCTCCATTACCAGTGTAGACACTACAAGGGCCGCACCCTTAGATAAGCTGCAATATTGACATTGTCCTTTCCAAGTAATTAAGGCATCCATCTACCCTTTGTGTTTCTGAAGGTATTTGCATGCTCAGTTTTTTAATTCACACAGTTAGCCAGTATGGTTTGCTAAGGTACAAATCAAACCCTGATACTGACAATGGTGGTGCAAAAATTACTAATTACAGTTTCATTCGGGATCAGTCAAAGGGAATGATTCTGTGTCACAGTTCTGGAAGATGGGTAGTCATCCCACCAGCAGCAATCCATCTCCTGGTTCATACAACTGTGGACCTTTAGATTTCCAACTACTCAGCTGCATGAAACAAACGCCACATTTTGTTTCGAATGAAACGAAAGCCACACAGGCTGTGGAGAGGCCACCAGAGGCCATTTGGGATCCCAGCGGCCTAACTTTGCTCCCATCCGGCCACAGTGCTGCCAAAAGTGACGTTTCCCACAGTCCCGGGAACGATCAAGCAGAGCCGTGCTGCTCTGTGGGGCTCTGACAAGAGCCGCAGTGCTCGGCCATGAGGGCAGCGCGTCCTGCACTATCACTGTGAGGAAACAGCAAAAATCAACCTCGTAGCAAGGAGAGGCTCTAGAGAGACTTCTGTGTCTCCATCAGCGAGCRTGCCGCTCGCAGGAACGGGAGGTCTGTGGAACAGAGAAGTGGCAAAGATAATATGGACACATTCTCACACTCCTAAGACTATTTCATAGCTGTGTAAAAATGTTATCTTGCTAATAAGGAGCAAAAGAGGAAGAATAAGAATTCTCTCAAGAACTCTCTTAAGTTGAAATTTGGCAAGAAATACATATTACACACATAATGCAACATACTAACCTGGAAGGTACTGACTTAGTTAGTAAGAGAAAAAATAAAGTCATGGTTCTCAGGTGTTTAAAACCCAAAYAAATAATCTGATTTCTTTTTTATTATTTTTTTTTTCAGAAATTCCTCTGCACAGGTTCCTTCAACATCTGGAGTCTTGGTATGTGTTGTATGTAAGTCTGCTGAAGGGTCCTGCCTGAAACTGCTACAGGTTTCAAATCAGCCCCAGAATTGCACTAAGAAGAAATAAAATTTGGATTCCACTTAGATCATTATTAGAAGGCCAAAACTTCCCAAGGGTCCCACGGACACCTGGCTTTTCCGAGACACCCCTCAAGCCACTGCGAATGAAACTGTCCTAACTTTCAGGTGCCAGGAGCGCAGAGCACAGCCCGTCACAGCGACCTGGGGCTAAACCCCTAAGCCCCTTCCACCACCGCAGCCTTTCCTTCCTCAACCTCGGTTGCTCCGCTTGCTCATCCTCACTCGGGGAAACTCGTGCTGATCCGTCCGGAACCCCTCGGGCTCCCAGGGACACGCAGTTGCCGCTCCAGGCTCTCTGCAAGGCGTCTGTGCCACGGGGAACGTGCTGGGCACCCCAGCGGGACACCCCTCTGCCTGTGTAGCTAGCTCCCAAACACACCAGCTCTCATTAAGGAAACCCTCATTATCCTGAGCTTTTCCTCCGGCTGTTTGTGGTTCCCACACCATAAGAACAGTTGGGTTCATAGGAGCAAGAGGAGTGGGCAGTTTTCCCCCCTTACCCCTGAGGTTCCCCCACAGCAGCGACCTCTTAATGTTGACAGCATTTTGGGGTGAACTGCAAGGAAAAAAATAAAAAGAACAAACGAGAGGGGAGCARTATGCGCAGTGTGCAGTGGCATTGCTTGTCATGGGTGTGCAGCACGCACAAGGAAGTCCCTGGTAAGACTCGTGGGGTGAGAGAAGCCAGACACCTTTCCTGTGGTCCAGGGCAGCACTGGAATCCGCTGTTTTCAAGCTAAGAAACACCAAGGGAAACACAGGCTGAAGAAATCAAAGGAGGAAGAGCTCAGAGAAGGATGGAATTTCAAGGGAGAAAAGGAGAAAAATAATCAAAGAGCAGGTTGCACAGTAGGGAAGCAACACAAAGCAGCAGGACAGCCCCGCTGTCCGAGCATGTGCGCCCTGCTCGAGGAAAGCGAAGCCGCGAGCAGCAGCCCAGCCCCGGCACTGGCACTGGCTGCTTCCCTCCTGCCGCAGGATGGTGAGGGCTGCCAGGGGCCTTTGCGGGTCCGCAAGGATTCTGTAGACACGGAGGCAGGAGCCAGCCCGGCGCCGCGTGTCCGGACGGCCTCATGCGCACGGCTCCGGCTGTGGTGCTGGGCACAGGCGCCCAACGGGCCCGGAGCTGATCCCGGCAACGCCACCGCAGGAGCGAGGACACCAGGCGGTGCGGGAGCTGGGATACTGGGCGGTGCAGGAGCAGGGATACCCAGCRGAGCGGGAGCWGGGATACCCAGCGGAGCGGGAGCTGGGATACCCCTCAAAGCGGAAGCCAGGATACCCCTCGGAGCAGGAGCTGGGATGCGGCTGGGTGCGAGGGCGCAGTGAGCGCCGCTGCTCTCCGCTCTGCCGCCCGGCCCCGGTGCTGCCCCCGGCCCCCCGCCGGCCCTGCCCGTGCCGGTGCCGGTGCCGGTGCCGGTGCCCGCGGCGGCTGTGGCCCCGCGGCGGGGCGGCGCGGCGCGGCGCGGCGCGGCACGCACCGTGTTGTAGAACTCGGCGATGGCGGGCACGATGGTGTAGTTGTCCTCGCACCAGTCGAGCTCGGAGCTGCCCGCGCGCAGCTGGTCCCACCACAGCAGCGCCAGCATGGCCCCCGCGCCG